TCGTCAAATAGCTGGATGCCGAGGCCGCCGCGGTGCTGGTGACCCACCACGTATACGACTTCAACGTCCGCGTCGTCGTTTTCGTCGTAGTCGGCGCCAAAGCCAAAGGCACCGCCGGCGCGACCAATGTGCTGGCGCGTCGACAGCGTGTGCGTGCACCCCGGGTTCTCGTCGGGAATGCACTTGGGGATGTCGTACTCGACGGCGCCGTGGTACTTGAGGTCGCCCGACGCGTCACAGCACGCAGCCAGGTACAACGGGCGAACTTGGGGACTCACGACGTCGTCGTAGTCGAACGTGTACTGGAGGTAGTAGGTCGAGTTGGGGGCGGTGGCGTCGAGGTCGGCCGGCTCCAAGCACAGCTCCTTGTCGTTGCAGCACCGCAGACCTCCAGAGTACGTGTCGGCAAAGCACGCGGCGTTCTTCTCGTGCAAGAGCTGTGCGTTGCACACCAACCCGAGCTCGTACCCGTTGACCGTGCCGTTGGCGAACAGGTCCGACGACGTGCACGGACACTCGAGGCAGTGGTGGGCGCGGTCGGGAGTCATCTGGCGCGTGTTGATGATGTGGACGTTGGCGATCCACTCGTCTTCGCCCTCCGACGTGACGAACGCATAGGGGAACTGAAATTCTTGTGGGGTCCCGCGCGACTCGGTTCCGGCGCCAAACCCGACACCCGCATACATGCGCTCCGAGTTCTTCATCGGTGTCCACGTCGACTGCTTGGCCTTGTACGACGAGTGGCGGGACCCGACGACGTGGTGGTGCAGGTACGCGTCGTAGTTGGGCGTCGGGACGACCGTGCCGTTGTCAAGGATCTCGACGATTTCGGCGGCGAAGCGGGACACAGCGATCGGGCCTTTCGGGATCGGCAGGATGTGAAAGTCGTTGCTGACGCCGCCTTGGGGAAGCACGATGGGGCGCGTGAACGCCGTGTGGGTCTTGCGGGCGGCCTCGACGCTCGCAACGACGAGGACCGCGGCGAGCGACAACGAGAGATGCATCACCTTCCAACAGCGCCAATTCCGGAATGCTCAAAGCTTGTGATGGCCACAGCGTCAAATCTCGTTCTATTGACGTAGGGTGAAAACGATTGTTTTAGTAAGCAATATGAATCTTGTAGTTGATATAGCATATGTTGTCAAAGTTCTGAGGGCATGGTCTGTGCACACTGAACGACGAAAGGAAGACGTTTGGGTGCGCGACGAGCAGCCCGCGCTGAACCTTTCCCCACCTGCGACGACTACTTTGGAGTGCCTACGTCCCGTGGTGCTTTTTCGTGTGCAAGACGTGATCGATCGGCGGACATGGTGGGCTGTGGAATCCCAAAAAGATATGCACATTATGGCAGCCAAGAGTGGGACGCGTCGTTTGCGGTTTGTCGCCAGCGATACTAAACAATCAACATTCCGGAGTCACCCAGATGACCTGGCATCGTAGGTTGCAGTCGTCGACTACGTTGAGAGACTTGCGCGATTTCAGACGCAAGATGGTTTATGGGAGATTTCGTGTTAATTTTGTGGGAACGCGATGTAGTTGTTGAAAGCAAGGGGGGTACCCTCTACCCGTCGTGGTCGGACGTTGGAACAGGAGTGTTGGTCGTTTGACGTTGGGCCGTTGGTTTATGGTGACTGTTCCACTGTGCAATTGGCGGGCTTGAATGGCGGCCACAGCGTCAACATCAAGCAAATCAAAAGGTGCATCGGATGGGCGCTCTGGCAGCGGATCCCAGGCCACACCTCGGTATGCTCCGTTGAACGGCATCGGGAAAGATTGCCAGGGCAACATGCATTGGAATCACTTGCAACACAAGTCAAAATATACTACCAGTATACATACCACATCGTCTACAAATAGTACTACTAAAAGAAGAGAGGATGAACAAAACAAAGTACTACATATATGTATTTAGAGACACACGAAAAATTCAAAATGGAATATCACTTGTTCTAATGAATAGTACTACTATTCATGGCCGCATAGATTTGCCGCGAACAAACCGTTGAAGGTGTTTGTGGCACACTTCCACCTGGGCTCAGTCGTGATGCATCTCTCGTTGTCGCTCGCCGCTGTCCTCGTCGTTGCGAGCGTCGAGGCTGCCCGCAAGACCCACACGGCGTTCACGCGCCCCATCGTGCTTCCCCAAGGCGGCGTCAGCAACGACTTTCACATCCTGCCGATCCCGAAAGGCCCGATCGCTGTGTCCCGCTTCGCCGCCGAAATCGTCGAGATCCTTGACAACGGCACGGTCGTCCCGACGCCCAACTACGACGCGTACCTGCACCACCACGTCGTCGGGTCCCGCCACTCGTCGTACAAGGCCAAGCAGTCGACGTGGACACCGATGAAGAACTCGGAGCGCATGTATGCGGGTGTCGGGTTTGGCGCCGGAACCGAGTCGCGCGGGACCCCACAAGAATTTCAGTTCCCCTATGCGTTCGTCACGTCGGAGGGCGAAGACGAGTGGATCGCCAACGTCCACATCATCAACACGCGCCAGATGACTCCCGACCGCGCCCACCACTGCCTCGAGTGTCCGTGCACGTCGTCGGACCTGTTCGCCAACGGCACGGTCAACGGGTACGAGCTCGGGTTGGTGTGCAACGCACAGCTCTTGCACGAGAAGAACGCCGCGTGCTTTGCCGACACGTACTCTGGAGGTCTGCGGTGCTGCAACGACAAGGAGCTGTGCTTGGAGCCGGCCGACCTCGACGCCACCGCCCCCAACTCGACCTACTACCTCCAGTACACGTTCGACTACGACGACGTCGTGAGTCCCCAAGTTCGCCCGTTGTACCTGGCTGCGTGCTGTGACGCGTCGGGCGACCTCAAGTACCACGGCGCCGTCGAGTACGACATCCCCAAGTGCATTCCCGACGAGAACCCGGGGTGCACGCACACGCTGTCGACGCGCCAGCACATTGGTCGCGCCGGCGGTGCCTTTGGCTTTGGCGCCGACTACGACGAAAACGACGACGCGGACGTTGAAGTCGTATACGTGGTGGGTCACCAGCACCGCGGCGGCCTCGGCATCCAGCTATTTGACGACGAGAC